GGGGGGGGGGGGGGGGGGGGATATTGAGACTATGTATTTATTTTTATATCTTTGAGCTGTATCTCTGAGTAGTATAGTTGGTACAACTGTACACATATATGTATACAGTATAAATGGGGGTTAGATATTTTTTGTACCCTAGTTTTCTCTGACCTCCATTAGAGCTCAATCAAGGTGAGGTCTCTCTTGTTTCCTCTGAAATTTCGACAGATTAAATTGAGGTCTAAAAATAAATAAATCCTCTTCACGTTACATTTTTAGTGAAACTTATTTTTTCATGAGAAGGTAAAGACACGACAACTTTTTCCTAATTTTTTCATTTTTAAACTTACTATATAATGCCGTAAAATAAACTTTCAATCGTTAAATTGTTCACGGTGTCTTTTACAAGGTTGTTAACAGTTGATCATCTGATTCCATTTCCAAATCTAGGTTGGAAACAATTAAATCTCGTTTGGTCTTATTTTCCTTTATCTTTGTTCAGAAAATTTGAGAAGCTATTTATTTTTTTAATTCGACAAATTTACTAGTTATTTGGGATTTCAGTAAAAGAAAGAGAGACGTGAAAAAAAAAAAAAAACAGAGGAGGGTTGCATCTTTCTGTGCAACCTATACCTTAGGTAAAAACCAGTCGGCCCAGAGCAAACTAAACATAAGGCATTTTTTGGATTAAGAAATAGAGATATGTTATAAATAGAATTTTATTTATGGTGAATGTTTATATTTAGAGAGATTCTAGGGTTTATTACTTGGTGGCTAAGTCACCCTCTCCCTATAAATAGAGGGGTCCTATTCCATTGTAAATCATCCCAAATCAATAAGAATTATCTCCCTCTACTTTTCTCTGCAATACTCTTCTTCTTCTTTTATTGTTTTATAACACGTTATCAGCACGAGACTCCAACCAATTGAGTAGAAGCTTTGGGATTGAGCATAATCATTGTCAATTGTTCCATGAACTTCCTTCATGATTAAATTCTGGATTTAAGGTAAGTATTTTACCGTATTTTTCTCTTATATTCTATACTTTGATTTTAAATACAAGCAAAGAAAATAACTTTTGATTATAACTCTAATGGAGTTTGTAAGAAACTACAACCACTCGAAGTGGTAAAATTTCTATGTCTTGCCATGATTAAAGTCATGTATGATCGTGAGCACAAGAAGTGAAAACCCGTCCCATTGAATTTGCTCCATTCTCATTCCCTTAAGAGAATGTGATAGCAGTATGTGATAAGTCTGAAAGAAGACAAAATTATTACTATGAATGTATCAATGGGTGTGGACGTGGCAATAGACGAAATTATAATCGTCATCATTGTGGTAATGAGAACAATAAGGATTCTCTAAATAATTCTTCACTTTATGAAAGTATTATTTGTCATCGATTTGACATGAGATTTTATAAAGCACATATAGATGATTATGGTCCATTCATGATGTGAATTTGACAACATCTGGTTTACAAATACATATTCATTCTTGGAAGAATATGAACGTGCTAGTGGTAATGAATATACCGCACTCACCTCTAGAAGGAGGTTTGAGATGATATAAGAAAATAATGTCATTATTATGGCATGAATGGTCATTGGTCACGTACCTATTGTACGCCAAAATATTTTGGTAATGTGGTTATTAAAGAATAACATTAATGCAAGAAACATATTTTGCATATAATTTTAACCATAACCATAATGGTATAACTTTCTCTTTAAAAGAGATATTCACCATATGGATGTTGATGAATATGTGGTAGTACCAAATTAATTGAGAGCTCTGGAAGAGCCAATTATACTATTTTGGAGAAACACAATTGATTACCAACAAGGTATTGTGTTGTAGTAAGTCTCAAAGAAACTTATTCAGTTTCCAAAGTATACGCGAAAGCGGTTGATTATATTGAGACTATAAATAAAGGAAAGATTTAATATCTTCTATTACCACTACTTGTAGCGGGGTAATATGTATGTGAAAAGTTACCCGCTTTATTCTCCAGTTTGTACTACACAAATAAAAGAATACCACACTAAAGTGGATGTTTATTGATATAAAAACCCATATCATAATAAACTTGGAGTTTATTGATAATTGCACGCGTCATGGTGTAAATCTAAAGTTTATCAATATTGATAATTTATTCAGTTGGCATAATTGGTTTAGCTATATCAATTTAAGTATGATGTGCAAAAATAATAGAGAATTCACATTGGTAAATATTAAAGAACTAGAAAGTTCTTTACGAATTCTCTTATATTGCTTGTTCTCATTAATTAATAGATCAACTAAAATTGGGATTGAATCCCATGAATACTGGAAATATCAAAGGTGAATATGGGCCCATTCACCTGCCATGTATACCACATAAGATGCATCTATGAGATGGTTACATGTGCGATTATTGTTAACCCGCAACATGGTGTTTGCGAGGTAACTTGCTCAATAATTTGATTTAGAGCATAATTTTCAGATTTTCTATTCAAGAATTCATCTTGATAAGTTGGTTTACATCACAGTTGGTTTAGCAACATGATTTATTGAGTGCCTCCACTTAATAGCTAAACTATTGCTTATGAGAACAAAGTTATATATATCAGTTTGATATACGTTATATATACGAAAGTATATTATTTTCTCCCCTCACAATTGGTTCATGGTCAGGAACTAAATAATTCCATCTTATTATTATTGATGTGCGGTGTATATTTTGATTAACACCATAAAGCACAAAGATGAATTCTCAAAGTTGAGGAAACAAGTTAGTTTTTCTAACATGAGGGGGAGACATGATAAACAGTTGAGAAAAAGTTACGTGGAATGAATTATCATTTGTTCATATAGATCCTCGAATAAGATAATATGAACTTGAAGTTCATAAAAGGATAATTCATGTGCAATATATTGCAAAGTATGCTAGACGCATTTGCTTACCCAAAGAAAGTAACTATATTCTCATTGCAAATGCTCATATTAAGTCCTAGAAGGACAAAGTCTATGGTACGCTTATAGCATACAGACAAATCGGTTTCAAATAAAACTTCTTGATAAAGAAGATGAGCAAATGATCATAATAAAGGAGGCAAATGATCTAGAAGATCACATGAAATAACACTTCATAAAATCTCTTGAAAGATTCAGGTACCTGAATATATGAATGAAGAGATCTCTATGTTATGTCTTTATGAAAAAATATTGAAACTGATATAAAATATTTGTCGACGACATTGATTATAGCGCTAAATATATATGAGGATCTTAAGTCTGGCGAAACAATTCAAGTGGAATTTGGTTTCATATGAATGACAAGTAGTTTTGGACCTGTAGTTCAAACACTTAAAAGTATAAAGACAATGGTGTGTGCTATCACCTTTATGTATCTTATATGTCTAGCATGACATGAAAACTTGATACAAATCTAAAGTCTATTTATATGGCTTATATGACTTAACTTATATGACAATCCATGAAGGATTTAAGTTGCTTGAAGCATATACAATTCTTGATCTTGGAGTACCACTTCATCAGTGCAATTTGTGCACAAATGTATCTTGCTATAACTATAGGCATGATAATATGATACCAAGTGTTTTCACCTCTATGTGAAGATATTGAACTGACGATTCCAACAAGATCATATGAAGACAATTCATCTCTATCAAGAATGATGATTTCAAGGTGCAATATATTCATTCAAGTTAATATGGCTGATTTGTTTATCAAATATCTACCAAAGATCTTTTGAAGATGGTGCACAAGATTGGAATGCAAATGCTTAAGGATGTGAAAGTGATGCTCTCATGAGGGGGAGTTAATACGCGTTGTACTCTTTTTTCCTTACAAGGTTTTGTCCCACTGGGTTTTCCTTGCAAGGTTTTTAACGAGGCAACCAAAAGGCGTATTGTTAGATATGTGTACTCTTTTTCCTTTACTAGAATTTTTTCCCACTGGGTTTTATTTTAGTTAAGGTTTTAACGAGGCACATTATCTGTTGAATAGACATTCAAGGGGGAGTGTTATAAATAGAATTTTATTTATGGTGAATGTCTATATTTAGAGAGATTCTAGGGTTTATTACTTGGTGGCTAAGTCACCCTCTCCCTATAAATAGAGGGGTCCTATTCCATTGTAAATCATCCCAAATCAATAAGAATTCTCTCCCTCTACTTTTCTCTGCAATACTCTTCTTCTTCTTTTATTGTTTTATAACAAGATATGTATTCTTTTTAGTGACAAACAACAAGCAGTTAAACTAATATTGGTTGTGAGTTGTGACTATAAACTAAAACAAGCAATTAAAGTGAAGATAAATGGTCGCCCTTTCTTGATCCCCTTTTCAAGAGTAACATGAGGCTTTTTTTCTTATATGTGGAGTGTGAATTTGGATAAAATTAAAACAAGACTTTTTGCCCAAAAATACTTGTTTAAGGGTAGAAATTACTCACCATAATATTGCTTCAAAGAGGGATGCCACCTCTCATGTTGTTCAATATTCCGCCCAAAAATCTGAGATGTCTTTTTATAAGAATTTTCCATTTTTGCCCTTGTGTTACAATTTTTGGGCAAATGCCTTATTTGGCTTGCTCTGATTTATAATGTTTTAAATTTGTTTTAGTGATTTGAATATCATATGCAAGTTTTAGCTTTTTCGTATCTAGAATTACACACATAAGATGAGTGACGTAGTAGCTTTTGCTCAAATTATTATCCAATATGTTAACAATTTGAATTTTTTTAAAATGTAGAATAAGTTATAGTCTAATTATTTAAAATTCAAGCCACACTAAACTCACTAGATATAATGCACAAACAAATGTAGCATCCACCTAGCAAGTAACAACGTAACTAACAGAAGCACCCAGCTTTGCGCGGGCAAAAAATTTTAAAAAGTCGTGTCTTAATTATTCATTTCCATCTACTACATTAATTAGAGAGAACTGTAAAAGAAGTTTGAAATTATACAATTTCTGAAAATTAAAAAAATGAGAATGTTCACCGTGATATTTTAACAAACAATGAAAGTGGTCGTGGATTCTGTCTTTGGTAAGGGTGAAACAGTCATTTCATTAGGAAACATTTATTCTTCTTTTCTGTACAGGTACTAAATAATTAATGAAGTTAGTAATATGACTAACTTAAAACATAAGTACAAAGTAACAAACATTAAAGTGCTATTAGTTTCTTCTTGCCCTTATAAATGTGTTTATCGGATTTAGGCATCCGAAATTGAGTAATTGACTTGTTTAATTAATCTGAATTTATGGCGGAAGCAAAGTTCCCATCAAAAGGTTCTCTATTCCCACTTATCAAGGCTCAGAATTTGCTTAATTATGGGCAAAAAATCTCAATCATCTTAGTAATATACTTCCTTTCTTCCATTTTATTTGATACTATTTCTTGGTTAGTCTGTTTCATAAAAATGACACGTTTATATATTTTCTTAATAATTTTTTTTTTATAGTTATGTAAATATTATAAAATATTTAAAATTTTATAATTATATAAATATTATGAAATGTTTAAGCTTACAAATTTAAAAGTCTTGCTTTTTTTTTTTAATTTCATGTCGAGACAAATTAGGTTGGAACGGAGGAGGGAGTACTCATTATTGGTCATTATAAATATGCTTACCTATCTTCACTGTTTTTTCCCATTTTTTCACTCTACAATGAAACTTCACAGTACCTTAGCTCTCATTAGTACTCTCCTATGGCTAACACTAACACTCATTTCAACAACTGAGTCAACTCAGCCACCTTTCTCCTGTGACTCATCTCTTCCTCTAACCAAATCCTTAAAGTTCTGCCAATCAGCTCTTCCCATCAGTGTACGTGTAAAGGACCTTGTCTCTCGACTAACACTAGATGAAAAGATTTCCCAACTCGTTAACTCAGCTCCGGCGATTCCAAGACTCGGTATTCCGGCTTATGAGTGGTGGTCGGAGTCTCTTCACGGCGTTGGAGCTGCCGGAAGAGGTATTTTCTTCAATGGGAGTATTGTTGGAGCCACCAGCTTTCCTCAAGTTATTCTCACTGCTTCTTCTTTTGATGAAAACCTTTGGTATCGCATTGGCCAGGTAAGAACCAATACAAACTTAGGTGTTTTAATTTAACTTTTTATGTGATTCCACTATCAGATGTTCTAAAATATAATTGCAGATAACTATCCATAGAAAAAGAATTAGCTAGTAACCTGAAAAATATTGCCCAAGTTAGTAAAATAGATTGAAATATTGTGATAGTGTAAAAATACTTTGTTGGTAAATCTATTATACTAGTTAAGTAGTATCATTTTCATTTCTTCATGTTACTTTTGGATAGTTCACTTTTCTAGGCTTCTGTGTGTGTGTCGGCAGATCTCTAGATCTTTATAGTGTCTCGAAATTCAATTATTAATTGATAAGTTATCCTTTTTTTTTTTTTTAAATTATCCTTTTTCAAATGAGTTAAGAAAAGATTCTATTTTTATGTATATAACGATTCTTTTAAAATTCAAGAAAAAGAAAGGTGAAAGTAGTTATAAAAAAAGAAAGAAGAAGATAAAAGTTGATAATTTAGAGGGTAAAATAGGTATTTGACAATCGAAAGTTTGAGAAATCTGGTTGAGTGACCTAATGAATGTTATAGTCATAATTAAGTGATTTTCCTGTTACAAAAGAAAGAAAAATGACTTTAGTAGATAATTTCTTACTATTTTGAGTAATGGACTCTTGATTTACTGTATCTCTTAAAATTTTATACTACTTGTAGCACATCGTACATAATCTTTTCTCAAATCTCTTAATTAAGGTTTGAGGTCTAGATAAAGTTATATTAATCAAATGGTGATAGTGAAGTTTTGGATTTATTTATTTCAAATTATTATGATACTAACACAAAGTAAAGTGACATTGAAATGAATTCCAATTTGGATAGGTAATATATTACAAGGAAAAAAAAAATTATTTTCTTGATTTCAGGTTATAGGAAGAGAGGCAAGGGGAGTGTATAATGCAGGGGAAGCAGTAGGGATGACATTTTGGGCACCAAATATAAATATATTTAGGGACCCAAGATGGGGAAGAGGACAAGAAACACCAGGGGAGGACCCAACTGTGACTGGTAAATATGCAATAAGGTATGTGAGAGGAGTACAAGGTGACAGTTTTGAAGGTGGAAAACTCAAGAAAGGTCATCTTCAAGCTTCTGCTTGCTGTAAACATTTCACTGCTTATGACTTGGATCAATGGAAAACCTTGGATCGCTTTAGTTTCAATGCCATTGTAAGTACTCTTTCAAACTAGCTTAGCTTCCGCACTTTAATTATTACCTACTAAGGCTTATTGAAAATAGATTTTTTGTCTTCATAAGGTAGGGTTAAGATCTGTGTAACCTCACTATATGACACTATACTCAATTTATTATTGTTATTATTGGTACTTACTATCTCTCACTTTATTATTGTTTGAAGAATCTATCATTAACTATGCAAAATAAAAAAAAAATATGGTACTAGTATTTTTATGTAACTTTAAAATATGTAGTTTTGTACAATACTTTTGGAGGAGTATATAGTTTAGTTTTTACCCTCTTTTGGATCTATGACCAATTAGTAATCAGTATCCAACCATTGGTTACTGTTTTCGAAGTTTGGAACACTTTCTTGTCTTGGTATATTTTGTACCTTTCCAAGGATAGAAGCAATAGTCACGGGCTTTTCTTAATTACTCCATCCGGTCCAAAATAAGTGATTTTTTGGATGTTTTCATATAGATTAAGAAATTTACCTTTTAGCATTAATTAGCAATAAAATTGACCATATTAACCTTTACTATCTCACATAAACACTCCTAACACATATTCCAACACTATTTACTCCAAGGACAATGTAGGAAAAAAATAATTAATTCATTCTTGAAATCTGAAAAAATCACATATTTTGGACCACAAGAAAAAGGTCAAAAAATCACTTATTTTGGACCGAAGGGAGTAATTAATTAATATAACAACCCCGAGATGGGTTTTTGATCTTGGTGCCTTGTCTGGCAGATTTTTTGTTATAAAAGAAAACTATATATTGCCTGAAAGAGAAGAGTGTTCTAATATTTTGGTATTGTCAGTCAAACGGACTACCAATTTTTCTTACCCACTATTATAAATAATGTTTAAAAGAATTTTAAAAAAAAAATCTTAGTAAACTTTATGAGATAATAATTGCACTTTTTTGGCTTTTCTTCTTTTCATTTTCCATTAATTCTTGCGTACTTAGTGGGGTGGATTAGGGTCGTTGTAGGACCATTTAGAAAATAGATTAAAAAGTGGGGCGTGCCATTGAAAAAAGATAAATTTTCTTTGGCTTCTTTTTAGGAATTCACACTTTTGCTGCTTAATTTAGATATTTGGTCCCGAAAGATTGAGAAATGAAGTATGTAAATCTCCAACTTTTGGGAAAAGAATGAAGCATGAGAATGAGGCTTTTTACACTTTGTACCTTTATTCTTTTTGTCACCTACTTACTTTAAGATTTAAGGAATCTGCAATTTTTAAATGTAATCCTGTACTACGATGTTTAGATTTGTTTCACTTTTTTTTTTTTTTGTCATTCTGACCTCTGGTATTTTTGATAATTACTTAGGTTACCCCTCAAGATATGGCAGATACATTTCAGCCCCCTTTCCAAGATTGCATACAAAAAGCACAAGCTAGTGGAATAATGTGCTCTTACAACAGTGTTAATGGCATTCCAAGTTGTGCTAATTACAATCTTTTGACAAAAACGGCTCGTCAACAATGGGGTTTTCATGGGTAATTATAAAAATTAATTTAGTAAACTTTTACTTACTTTTGTAATTTTACCTACTATTAGGAGTGGTGTCCATTTTTTAACTAGTTTGAATATGATAGGTACATCACATCCGACTGTGATGCAGTGCAAGTTATGCATGACAATCACAAGTATGCCAAAACACCAGAAGATGCAGCTGCATTTGCACTTAAAGCTGGTATGATTATACCCTGGAAAACTGTTTTCCTTCGTATGTTGTCAACTTTCTTCATAAGATAGACATAAAAAATAAAAAATAAAAAAATTGAAGCACAATCGTCTCATGTACCTTTTAATTATTTATTGAATAAACTGATTAAATTAGTCTTTGGAACAAATCGATATTACAAAAGAAAATTTGAAAACAATCCACGTGCTCTCTGGTCTGTATTGGGCCTACTTTGTAAATTGGAGATGTGGACTAGCTATATATTTGGGCCCAGAGTAATGGTCTTGTGGGCTGAAAGGAAGGCAAAATAAAGTCCAAATTTTATACCAGAAGGAGACTTGTTTTCTTTGACTATCCAGTAGTGAGTCCTACTGATTTTATCTTATCCTTATCAATGAAAGGGACAATATCCAAATCGTAATACATTTCTACAGAATAATACTCTCTTGAATAATTTTAAAAAGTATTTGTATGATAAAGAAAAAAGAAAAATAATAGAGAATCATGTAGTAAGACATGAAGAGGCACTAGGCCCAAAGTATTTATTAGGACAGGCCCAATGAATTTAGCCAAGGATAAGTAGGATAAATTTCTCTCTAAATAATATAAAACTAAAAAGGGCAGATGTCACTTTTAGTCCCTGGCTGAAACTATTTACATCCGACAGCCGCAAAAGTGTATACAATTTGTATATTTTTTGTATATAGCATATAGAAATGCATATATATACAAAAAATATACATTTTTTGCTATTATTTTGAGAGCGACTATACAGTGTCATTTTCCCAACTAAAAAGGCAATAATTAATTGTTTATGCATTATGAATTAACCTAGTAAAAAATAATAAGAAACTAATGTAATGGACTAACCAATTTGTTTCAATGTGATGGGAATTGAAATTTTCACAGGCATGGATGTAAACTGTGGGGATTACTTAAGGAAATACACAAAATCAGCAATTATGCAGAAAAAGGTTTCAGAAGCTCATGTAGACAGGGCTCTTCACAATCTTTTCTCTATTAGAATGAGGTTAGGACTATTCAATGGAAACCCAACAAAACAGCTCTTTGGAAACATAAGTCCTAACCTAGTTTGTGCTCAACAACATCAAGAACTAGCCCTTGAAGCTGCAAGAAGTGGCATTGTCTTGCTCAAGAACACTGGCAAACTCCTTCCTCTTTCCAAGGCTAAAACCAATTCCCTTGCTGTCATTGGTCCTAATGCCAACAGCGTGTACGTTCTTCGTGGGAACTACGACGGTCCTCCTTGCAAATCTGTCGAGATACTCAAGGCATTGTCGGGTTATGTGAAGACAGTGCAATACCACCCGGGCTGCAATGCAGTTAACTGCACGTCTGTTGCCATTGATCAAGCTGTCAACGCTGCAAAGAATGTGGATTACGTCGTTTTGGTCATGGGGTTGGATCAAGGTCAAGAAAGGGAACAATTTGATCGCGATGACTTGGTGCTCCCGGGGCAGCAAGAAAAACTCATTACTAGTGTTGCTAAAGCTGCAAAGAAGCCTGTTATATTGGTGCTCCTCTCTGGTGGTCCAGTAGATGTTTCTTTCGCGAAAATCAACCCCAAAATAGGAAGCATTTTGTGGGCTGGCTATCCTGGTGAAGCTGGTGGACTTGCTTTATCTGAAATTATATTTGGTGAACATAATCCTGGTAAGACTTAGATCAGTGATCACTTCTTTTTTTATTTCTCTCTGTAAAATATGCTTTATATTAATAACAAAGGCCTTATCTTATATGTCAATGTACAGGAGGTAAATTACCTATTACTTGGTATCCTCAAGAATTTGTCAAAATACCAATGACAGACATGAGGATGAGACCTAATCCAGCAACAGGATACCCTGGTAGAACATATCGATTTTACAAGGGTCCCAAAGTTTTCGAGTTTGGCTATGGTCTTAGCTACACAACCTATTCCTATGAGTTCAGCGCTGTCACTCCTAAAACAGTCCAGTTAAATCAACTATCAAATGCAAAGACAGTTCAAGTCTCGGATTCAATCCGTTACATGTCTGTGGATGAAATAGGAAGAGACAACTGTGAGAAGGCAAAATTCTCAGCTCATGTTAGTGTCAAAAACTCGGGGGAAATGGATGGTAAGCATCCGGTACTACTTTTTGTGAAGCAGGACGACAAAGTTCAAAATGGAAGTCCTGTAAAACAGCTAGTTGGATTTCAGAGTGTGAGCTTAAAGGCAGGAGAAAATTCTCAACTTGTGTTTGAGATCAGTCCTTGTGAACATCTTAGCAGTGCTAATGAGGATGGATTAATGATGATAGAAGAAGGGTCTCGTTACCTTGTCATTGGCGATGCAGAACACCCCATTAACATCATGATCTGAAACCAGATTTTCTTGGTTGCAAGAGTTAATTCTTTTCTTTACCTGTCTTTTCTTTAGCTGAACAAATAAAAAGTTGAATTCAAGAATCCTCTGTAATAGACTTGGAGGAGTGGACATGTTGCACCAACAGCTAAAAATAGAGATATCAATTATTATCAAGATAAATTTGAGCTATTAGAAGGGAGCTTGGCGTAACTGGTAAAGTTGCTACCATGTAACTAGAGGTCACGGGTTCGAGCCAGAAAATAGTTTCTTGCAGAAATGGGAAAGGCTGCGTACAATAGACCCTTGTAGTCCGGCCCTTCCTCGGACCTCGCGCATAGCGGAAGCTTAGTGCACCAGGCTGCCCTTTATAAATTTGAGCTATTAATCCCTCTTTGATATATTGCAAGATATGTACTTATTTTATTCTCTACCTTTTTGAAGAATCAGAAAGTTTAAGTACCAACCACAAGGATTACCTGATTTTAGTTTTACACATTTACACAGCAGTTTCTTCTTGAGTTGAAAATGACAATTTGGTGTATCCTTAATAAATATATGCCAACATGTAGAAAGCAATAATAGATGACAAAACAGTCGAACACAAATTTTCCTCAAAGGAACTACAGTTACAGCACTCACGTTGTTGTGAAAGCAGCAATGACAAAACCATGATTACTGGTGGCATGTATTAGGTGTTATATGTATGAAAGGGATTTGAGTATCGACAAAATCCATGCCACTCTTCCCTTTAAAGTAAAACTATATGAGAAGTAAGGTAGTTTTTTGTGTTCTACAAAAAGGAACAAGTTCAGAGTAGATTGTTTGAAGAGAAAAAGGCCAAATTTGCGCCCTTATAATCCAAAATTGAGCAACTTTGACCTTTATTACACTTATGCTCTAGTCTCACTCCCGTCATTATGAAAATGTCTCCTTTTTTATCCTTGACCCCTGATGGAGCTTCAGCCCGAGGATAATTTTAAACCTTAATAAAAAAAATTAGTGGTAAAAGTGAACCTTTTTTCGTAATGAATTTGACACATGATCTATATATACATGTACATATCTGGAACCTTCCACACATAACGTGAATATACAATACATTTTCTGTAGCGCTCTCTCTCTCTCTCTCTCTCATCTGTTTTCATGGAGCTCATCATAGAACACCATTGTTGCTCACCTTGAGCTCTCATCATCTTGACATGGTATCAGAGTACGAGAGCTCGTAATCCCCGAAATTCCCGATTTTTATATCTACTTTTTCGTCTTTGCCCTAATTTCGAACAAAAATCGCGCAAGTCAGCGATTTGCCCTCAATTGTTCACATTATCTCGTTCGATTTCACCTCTGTTCTACTTTCTCTCGTTCAATTTCATCTCCTTATTTTTAGATGGCTATTCTCGATCACAGTGACCTGACTGATGTCAACACACATGCAAGTGCAGTTGGGGCGGCCGGTAGAGTTGCTAACGCTGGAGTTGACATTAACAACCCTCTTTACCTTCATCCGTTTGATAACCCTGGGGCTATGCTGGTTTCTGCACCTTTTAATGGAATTGGATATCGCTCATGGCGGCGTAGTGTTATGCGAGCCTTATTCGTTAAGAACAAGCTTGGTTTTATTAGTGGGGAGTGCAAACGACCGAATCCTCAGTCTGTCGATTATCGCCAGTGGGTGCGATGTGACGATATGGTCACTTCATGGATCCTTAATTCCCTTTCGAAGGACATCGCAGATAGTTTGAGTATGCAAATGACGCTGTTGAATTATGGATAGAATTGGAAGAACGTTACGAGCAAACTAATGGTGCTAGACTGTATCAAATCCAGAAAGAGGTAAATGATCTGACTCAAGGAGCTCTCGATATCACGAACTATTACACCAAAATGAAGAAAATTTGGGAAGAAGCGAGTAACCTGAGTATGAAAGCACAGTGCAACTGCCAGTGTAATTGTGGTGCCAAGGAAAAATTATACAAGGCGGAGCAAGATAGGCGCTTGATCCAATTCCTTATGGGACTGAACGAGATGTACACAGTAGTGCGTGGAAGCATTTTAATGATGAATCCTCTTCCTTCATTAGCACAAGCCTTTTCCTTACTCATTCAAGAGGAGAAACAAAGGGAGATGCGACCCTCCAATCAACTGGTTTTTGAGTCGACTTCTCTTCACGTGAATGCACAAGAAAATGCCAATTCTAATACTCAAGGGAATGCTAACTTTAGAACAAACTATCGTGAAAATAATCAGTCCATTGGAGGCAAAATTTCACGTCCTTTTTGCAATTATTGCAAAACTGTAGGACACACTAGAGATAGATGTTACAAACTGCACGGCTATCCCCAGAACTACACTCCAAGTCCTAGAATTAATACCAAAGGGAAGCGTATCATGGCTAATGCACATGCCGCACCTACTGAGGAGTTGTCTGTTAAGGAAGATGGTTCAAGGTCACAGGACAAGCAACACAATATGGCAACTGTTGGAATCACAAAGAAGCGGTATGGTCAGTTAGTAAACCTTCTTCAGCACCTTCAAAGTACCAATGGAGAGGACTCTGCTGACACTCACCTGAGCAGTGGAGCAGTAAATTTCGCAGGTATTATGGCTTGCTCCTCTTCTGTTAGTCATGGCAATTCTCATTGTAAATGTTTCAGAACTATGTCTGACACATGAATATTGGATTTTGGTGCCTCGCACCACATGACATACAATAAATCTCTTTTTCTTGAAACTAAACCTTTGTGTTATCCCCTGGTAGTTGCACTTCCAAATGGTTATAAGGTCAAGGTGACAGAAGTTGGTAGTGTTGCACTTACATCTCAAATCACCTTACATAAAGTTCTCTTTGTCCCTGCTTTCAAATTCAACCTCATTTTTGTCTCCTCTATGACTGCACATCTAAGCCCTCTGATTGCCTTTACTGCTTCTTCATGTCTACTGCAGGCCCCTTCAATAAAGAGTCCTCTGGTGATTGGTAAGATCAAAGGTGGTCTGTATCTCTTATGTTCTCATTTCTTGGATAATGGTAGCTCAATTTCTAATGTTTCTGTTACCTCTACTCTATTTCCTCATTGTGATGTAAATACTCCATAGTGCTAATCTCTTTCACCTGTAAATAGTTCCATTGATAATAAGACACAGTCCACTACTCTGCATTCTTTTAATTTTTCTCAATGCTCTTCCATACCTCATGATAATAATGTAGATGCTCTTCCCCAAAGATCCAGCATTTTCACCAAGTCATTTGAGCTCTTACACGTGGATCTGTGGAGTCCTTATCATGTTCCAACCAATAGAAATCAGAAATACTTCCTCACTATAGTGGATGACTATAGTAGAGCCACATGACTCACCTACTAAGTTGCAAGAGAAATGCACTCCAAATCATCCAAGCCTTTGTATCTCTAATTGAAACTCAATTTCAGAAGTCCATTCAATCTATAAGATCTGATAATGGACTGGAATTCACTTGCACAGAAGCTACTCTGTTTTTTCAATCCAAAGGTATAATTCATCAAAAGACTTGTCCTTACACCCCACAACAAAATGGGGTGGTAGAAAGAAACACAAGTACCTTCATGAGACTGCCAGGACCCTACTTTTCCAATCAAAATTACCTTTGAAGTTTTGGGGAGAATGTATCCTTACTTCAACCTATCTTATAAACAAGCTGCCCACTGTACTGCTAAAAAATAAGTGTCCTTTTGAACTTTTATACAATAAGAAACCATCCTACTCACATCTAAGATCCTTTGGGTGCTTATGCTATCCCACTTGCCTAAAGTACATGATAAGTTGATATTTTACCAACTTATCTTATCTTTAAGACTATATTATTGCTATGTTTGAGTGATAAAATTATGTGTTTAATGTCATTTACTTCTATATTACAGGTTCTATATGATTTAGAAGTGATCTTGGAGAAACCAAGTGAAACGAGTCAAAAAAAAAGCTGAAAAGAAGAAAATCTGGAAAATGCCCTCAGTTGTCGCAAATGCGACACAATTCTCGGAAATGCGAAGAAAGCAGAGATGGGAATTGCAAGTAGTCCATCGCAATTGCGAAGAAAGACCATTCAAGCTGTGCTCGCAAATGCGAAGTCAACCAGGCAGTCAACCTTCGCAAATGCGAAGTCTTGATCGCAAATGCGAAGGTCAACAGTATAGTCATAGTTCGCAATTGCGAACTTTTGTTCGCAAATGCGAAAATCGTGCTTCAGTTCTGGGCAATTATGCCATTGCACATTTTTAGGCCCCAAACCCTTTAATACCCAAACCAGCTCATTTGTAAAATAAATTTGGCATATCTTTTGGCTTATTTTCAGTCTTAGGACTAGAGAGAACAAAGTTGGAAACTAGGGTTTATGCACTTACACTTGGGTTTTGAAGATTTGAAGAGTGTGGTTAAGAATTTCTTACTCCTTTGTACTCATTTCTTCATTTCCTTGCTATGTATTGAATATCCAATATGTGTAGTATTTTATTCAACACTTGAATCTTGTTTATAAAAACCTTGTTGCGCTTATGTATTGAATGATTTTGTGTCTTTTATGAAGTGAGTTATTGTTTCTTTAATTATTGTTGTTCTTTAATGTTTCCAAAGGGATTAGCTAACCCTAGGACTCGCCCATTAACTTTGAATTAATTTTGGGAAAGATTATTTGGGGTTGGGAAATATTAATTAACAAGAACTTGAGTTTTAACTCTCATTTTATAGATTCTACCTAGGGATAGGATTGAACTACTTGTAGCCATATTCGTGTGTGCTTAATCTCTTAATTAATTTAGGGATAATTCAATTAGGAAGTCTTGTTAGTCTTTGGAAGAAGCTAATTTAGAATTTTTACTCGTGGATAATTAACATAAACTCGCTTATATTTGTAAAATTGTGAAGTACATTGAATCGTTACTTGAGTGTAATTCCCAATGCATCCATACTTGTAGCCATTGATCATTTTACTTGCTTTCTAGGTTAGTTTACATTTCCGCATTTAGGTACAGATATTTTCTCAAAACAATTCTTAGTGGTTGGCATTGCATAACAAGTGATAATTCTCTTACATTCCTAATTGCCTACATATTGTTCTCTGTGAGATTCGACCCTGATTCATAGTTAGGTAAATTATATTGCATGTGACCCTGTCCATTTACTTTTTAGTAGTAGATTTGGACGTTATCAGTACACGGAGATAAACTTGAACCCAGGAGTGTTCCCCATGTTTTTGTTGGATACCCTTTCAATAGCAATGGATATAAAGTATTGAATCTCACCACTCATAAAATTCATGTTTCCAGAGATGTTGTTTTCCATGAAACTGTCTTCCCTTTGGCTAGTCCACAGTCACATGTTGCTCCTTCTCCATCCTCTGCTCCTTTCCCGGACTCTCTTGACACATGTTCCTTATCCTGACTCTTTTCCTTCTTACTCTCCTGATTCCTTTCCTTCTCTCCCTACTGAATTACAATCCTCCCGTGCTTCTCCATTTGTATCTCCACCACCTGCTTCTCCATCAGCATGCACCTACACTTAGGAGATCTTTAGAGAGAACATCACATGCCTTCTCACTTACAAAACGATGTTGCTCTATCCCCAAGTTAAGCTCAGACATTCCTACTACCTCATCCTCATCTCTTGCTGCTTTATTTTCTTTGCATCATCATATTTCACCTGAATCCCTAGTTCATGATAGTCATTCATTTGTGATGAATGTTTGCAATATTAATGAGCCATACTCATATGAGGAGGCAACACTTAACCCAGCTTGGTAGGCTGCAATGACTTAAGAGTTTGAGGTCCTGCATGTCAATCATACCTGGGATTTGGTTCCATTACCTCCAGGAAAGAAGGCCATTGATTGTATGTGGGTTTACAAGGTGAAACACCAAGCATATGAGAGCATTGAAAGGTTCAAAGTAAGACTAGTAGTCAAGGGGTACACACAGCAAGCTGGTGTGGACTATATTAAAACTTTCTCACATGTTGTGAAGTTAACTACAGTTAGGGATCTTATTTCCACTGCAGTAAATAGGAAGTGGATCATTTCTCAACTTGATGTCAATAACGCTTTCCTCCATGGGGACTTGCATGAGGAAGTCTACATGGAAATTCCCTCAGGCCTTGAGGTGCCCACTCCAGGCGTTGTTTGTAGACTGAACAAATCTCTCTATGGGTTGAAGCAAGCTAGTACGCAATGGTATGCCAAGCTAGCCGAGGCATTATACTCCAGAGGCTATGTGCATTCCCTCCATGATTATTCCTTATTTTGCAAAGAACAGACTCATCCACTATGTACATAGCTGTCTATGTTGATGATGTGTTTATCACAGGGACAGAAATGGAAGAGGTCAATCAGTTGAAAAGCTTCCTACATAACACCTTCAAAATCTAAGATCTGGGCAGATTACACTACTTTCTGGGCTTAGAGGTTCTTTATAAAACTGATAGTGTTCTCATCTCACAAAGGAAATCTGCTCTTGATCTCCTCAAAGGATATGATTGTATGTCCTATAGTGGACTGTCATCCCCCCTTGATCGCTCTGTTAAGTTGCAGGCTAAGGTTGGTGTTGTCTTGAATGACCCTACATATTATAGGAAGCTGGTTGGAAAACTGAACTTCCTTACTAATACCATGTTGGACATTGCTTATGGAGTCCAACACCTTAGCCAATTTATGCAGGATCCCAGGGAACCTCATCTTAAGGCTGCTTTTCACTTGTTATGGTATCTGAGAAGTGACCCTACACTGGGAATCTTCTTCTCTAATGATCGAGACTGCACTATCCAGGCCTACTATGACTCCGACTGGGCTACTTGTCTAGACTCCAAAAGGTCAGTCAGTGGCTGCATAGTTCTCTTGGGAGATAGTCCTATAAGTGGGAAGTCCAAGAAACAAGAAACTGTCTCCCTTTCTTCAGCCGAGGCAAAATATAGATCTCTTTGAGAAGTTGTTGGTGAACTCACTTGGTTGTGCAGATTACTCGAGGAGCTGCCTGTCCCATTTCCAAAGCCTGTCATTGTTTTTTGTGATAGCCAATCAGCTCTCCATATAGCTAGAAATTCTGTTTTCCATGACCAAGCACATTGAGGTGGATTGTCATTTTGTATGAGCCAAACTTCAAGAAAGGTTGATCAATTTGACTTATGTTCCCACTCATGCTCAATTGGCAGACATCCTCACCAAAGCCTTGGCTGGAGCTAAACATTGTGGGGTTCTCAGCAAGTTGTCACTGCAGTCCTCACCTCCAACTTGAGGGGGGTATTGAGCTTTATGTATTTATGTAATAGTAGTGATTAGTTGTAACTGATACAATAGTTAGTTAGAAGTAGTTGTGGCATGAGGTGAGACACACGTGTGTCTATATATACATGTACATATCTGGAACTTCCACACATAATGTGAAAATACAATACATATTCTGTAGCTCTCTCTCTCTTTCTCATCTGTTTTCATGGAGCTTATCACAAACTCCATTGTTGCTCACTTTGAGCTCTCATCATCTTGACAGAGTGCATATTAAAATATTATCAAATATCCCCTCCGTCTCATATTATCTGTCATAATTTTCTTGTACACGCCTCTTAAGAAAATTAATTAGGATGAGATTTTGACTACTTTTATCTTTATTTATGTTTTAATATTTAATCTTTCTTCATTGATATTTGAACAAAGTTATTCATAATTGAGGTGTTTGTATTTTGGAGTTAGAACTTTGCCATTGCACCAAGATAGCGACGAAAATCTTTTTTTACTTGAAAAGGTTCCTAAAAGTTAGTCAAAGGCGTGTGTGTCGAGGTTAACACTTGTGATATATGAATCATACTTTATGCATCCTACTGGACACTGCACACACTTTTAGTATAACGAAATATATTTCTTTAAATCAGTGTAAAAAAGACTAACCCCTGATTTTCTTTTGTAGGTCAAAGTGAAGGGGAGCAGCAAATATGGTACATAGATAGTTGCTGCTCAAAATATATGACTGGTAGCAAGAACTAGTTCCTTTCACTTGAGGACCTCAAAGGAGGTAATGTCTCCTTTGGAAATTGTAAGAAAGGTGAGATCATTGGAGTTGGAAAAGTAGGTAAGAAAGGCTCACATTCCATTGAGAATATCTACTTGATAGATGGCTTGAAATATAGCCTAATCAGTGTATCACAATAGTGTGACAGAGGTAACTTGGTAGCATTCACCTCTACCAAATGTTTTATGATAAACCTTACGACTGATAAGATTATTTTGCAGGGAAAAAGAGTGAACAATATATATATATATATATATATATATATATATATATATATATTATCTATATATATATATATATAATGTATATCTTCCACTCTTTCAGAAAATAAACTCACTTGCTTAGTGTGTTGGATAATGATCCCTCATTTGGCACAAAAAGACTTGGACATGCAAGTCTAAGTTCAACTCAACAAATTAGTTTCCAAGGACCGTGGTGATAGGGTGCCTAACAATCAATTTTAAGGAAGAAAAATTTGTGAGGCTTGTGCAAGGGGGAAGCAGGTAAGATCCTCTTTTAAAAGCAAGAAGTGGTAAGCGACCGACCAGGTCGATGGAAACTGCATCGATATGATCTCTCTGTGGTCCAATGAGAACATTGAGGCAGAGGTGGTAAGCAATATGTGAATGGGGGTGCTGTTGATAATTACGCTAAGGTTTACTTACGATTATTTTAAACATACTAAGGAATAAAGCATTATGACACATGTTTAACTGGCCTCTTGTTAGAAAACCTCAGAAACAACTAGGTATTCAATTGCATCAAATTGAGCGTCTGATCATAGGAACTGATTTGAAAATTGCCTAAAGTTTGCGCTAAATCTTGTGATTGAAGCATGGTTAATAAAATTGTTCTATTTCTCTGCCCTAGATAATTGCCCACATCTCTGGGCAGGGAGGCTGTAAAATACTGCATGTTACGTCATTAACTAGTGCATGACTAGAGACGCTCTCGTAAGAGAGACTCCCTATGAGTCTACTTTAAAGGGAGAAACCACCATATATTCCATCTTAGGACATTTGGTGCAAGTGCTTGTGCACACTAAGTGGAAGGGCTCCCTAGGTAAGGTTTGATCCCAGAAATGATGAGGGAGTGATCCTTGGATATCTTTCACAATAGAAAAGCTTATAAGCTGTACAGACAAAAAGAACTTGTGGTAGACAAAGTGGTATATGTAGTTTTTTGATGAAACTAACAATCTTTCTGAGAGCACAGGACCACATGGAAGATGAAGTTATTGGGCTGGTAAATAAGAATTTGAGTGAAGTCACAGCTGCAAGCTGAAGCTGCACCAAAAGAAGGAACAGGTGATGAACAAAGTTCTTCACTCAGGCACTTTAGACAGGGGTTAATGAACAAAGAAGAAGTGAATCTAATTCCCAAAATGGAACTGATCATGAGCCTGTTCTAGCACAGAACATGGGAGAATCTCCAAACGAAATCAGTTGTGTGAAACCTTGAAAGATCAAAGTTCTCATCCCATTGAGAACATTCTTGCTGAATTATCTTAACCAACTTCATGGAGTGAAAACTAAAGATCTCGCATTAAAGAGTCTATGTGCTTTTGATGTATTACTTATTCTTATTGAACTTAAAAAATGCTTCGAGCTTTGCAGATTGTAGACTGGGTGAATTTGCAATGCAAGATGAACCTCAATCAGCTTTGAAAGAAGTCAGTGTGACATCTCGGTCACAAAGACCCCAAGGACAGATAGTAATTGGCTCTAAATGCGGCTCTTCAGAAACAAACTTGATGAAGAGGGAACGGCTACAAAAACAAGGCAAGTTGGTGGTTCCAAGGTCGTAACGCAAGCAGGAGGGCATAGACTATGATGGACACTTGCTCCAGTTGCAAAGACTGGAGGCAATAAGACTCCTCATAGCCTTTGGGAGCACACATGAATTTACCCTCACCAAATGGATGCGAAGAGTGCCTCTCATGCTCTACTGATAAGACAGAAGTCTTTGGAAACAACCTCTAGGGTTTGAAAGTAAGGAGTGTCCAGATCATGTATACAAACTGGACAATGGCCTATATGGACTTAAGCAGTTGCTCCTAGGCATGTATGACGCTTATCCAAAATTCCTGCATTGAACATGGATACAAAAGTGTAAGAATTGACAGCAACTATATTATAAGGAAAAAGGTAAGGATTATCTAAAGTAGTACAATATATATTGATGACATAATTTTGGGGCACCACTGAAAAACTTAGTAAGGAATTTGCTAAATAATGGGAGAGTGAATTTGAATGAGTATGATGGGCGAGCTTAACTTCTTCTTAGGCTTACAGATCAAACAAAACCCAAATGGAACCATGATACATTAGCAGAAATTATGCAAAAGAGTTGATAAGAAGTTTAAAATGGATGAATCAAAGGAAATAGGCACACCATTGCAACAGCTACTAAATTAGACATAGATGAACCTGGTTCATCTGTGATCAGAAAGTTGGTATAGGGGTATGATTGGTTCACTTTTGTATCTTACTGCTAGCAACCTGACATTGTCTTTAGTGGTAGGGCTTTGTGCTCGTTTTCAAGCAAATCCAAAGAATCCCACTTGACTGCTGTCAAGAGGATACTGAGATATTTGAAGGGAACTACTGACCTTTTCCTTTGGTACCCTAAAGGTAGTAACTTTAATCTAGTAGGATATGCTGATGCTGACTATGCAGGTTTCCTTGTGGATAGGAAAAACACCTTAAGTATGGCTCATTTTCTTGGTTCATGTCTGGTATCATGGGCCACTAAAAGGCAGAATTCAGTGCTTATCCACTGCGAGGCTGACGTACAGTTGTTGCTGCCATCTTGTTGATGCTCCACACCTAAAGATGTAGGATCAAACATGCAGGTCTGATATGATTTTCGGCAATTAAGAAAGACATTTGAGTTGCATCACCATATTTTTGTGATCAAACAACTAAAAGTCCCGCTGCTTGTAAATGCTAACAAACCAGTTTTCATCCATAAGAGAACTAGCACATAGGATTAAGACACCAATACAGACTTTCTTAAGGCGACACCTTATGGATATTGAGATTACCATAGAATTTGTTTGCTAACTGAATAAGCAGATTGCTGACATCTTTACTAAAGCACTGAGTAGAGAAAGCTTTGAAAGGAACAGGTTAGAATTAGGGATGATTAAGATCACCTAATGGGACCAGCTCAGAATGCAAAATGAAAAAAAAATTATTTTTGGCTAGGAAATCTGGAACTTGTGTAAATATCTAGATTAATTTTTACTCAGTTTCATACTGTAAATAGTATACTCCTGTGACATGTGTTAATATGACTCACTGATCTCTAACAAAATTCTCTACTTTGGAAAATAGAGACATGATCAAGAGGATTCTAAATGAAGAACCTGGTTCATAAGTATTAGTTCATCTGAATAACGAGGTATGTTTTCTATACTCTGCACAATTAGAAATATAACTATTTAAATCATGAGCAGATTCCTACATATGTTCAAAAACATCAGAAAATCCTATCCGCTTATTTTTTGAACCATTTCCGTCTCTACTAGAATTCTCACCACATAAATTGCCTAAAATCTAGGGAAGCTTAACCGCTCATTCCACCTGAAATTTCAGGTTGATTGGACTTCTAATTGACTGCAAAAAGCTACCGTTAGTCATTAATTAAGTTTCTCTCTTTAAAAACCCATCATCACCTTCTGCAACCCTCACTATTCAAAAACCGTCAAAATTTCTTTCACTCTCAATTGTTCTCTCTTCCAAAAGCCAAACTCACAAATTCTCTCACAAAATCAGTAACAATGTCGAACCCTCAAGATAACCCAGTCACTCCTCCACAACATGCCCCTTCTGATTCCTCCACACCTCCTCAACCCAGTACAACCCCCCAGCCTAGGAGGAGACGTGTTAAAATGCTCGCTCGTAAAGCTGTGGCTACAGGTGCATTGTCAAAAAGATTGAACGCACAATTGAAGGCTAGCCAAGCCCAAGAATCTGAACACTCAGACGATTCCTTCAAGTCTGCAAGTGAGGGGGAAGGAACTGGGTCTTCTGATTCTGAGAAGATTCAGAGTTCCCCT